AGGATGGGAACACAGGTGTGCATCACCAGGTGGCCGGTTCAGTGCACCTGGGGGTGGGGCTGGTGCAGCATGTGGTACCAGGGTATTTTTTGTATGCTGTTTTTTTTTTTTTTTTTTGGCAGAATCGGGGATTGAACTCAGGCCCTTGCGCTTGCCAGGGAAGCGCTTATTCTACGGAGCCATCTCCCCCGCCCCAATTTTTTTGTCTTTTAGAGACAAGGTCTCACCATGCATTTTCAGGTGGGCCTTGGGCTTACCTTCTAGTCCAGGCTGGCCTCAAATCACAGCAATCCTCCTGCCTCAGCCTTCTTTTGAGTGCTGGGATTAGAAGCGTGCAGCACCACATCCAGCCTGTAAAGTATTTTCATGTTAGGTGATTAGTTACTCATGCTTATGCATTCAGGACTAGAGATGCATTTCCGCTGAGGATGGAATGGTCTATGAGCCTGCCACTTATCTAAGCACTGGTAAGTTCACAGGTGAGGCACCCCTGCTTCACCAATCCATGTTCATTCATCGAATATGCACTGCACTGCATGTGGATCTTGAACATATAAAATTGTATAACTTTAAGCATCTGTGTTTCTGAAATGCGCTGGACGGCAGCTGGACACAGCAGCCTGGCCACAGTTCAGCTGAGCAGAGACTGCGAGCACTGTGCTTCCGGGGACACAGCTCCTCACCCTGGAAGGGTCTTCTTGGTTAGAAAAGGCAAACAGGTGTAGGCAGGGGTGGGTGGGTGGGTGTGTGCAACTGGCCCATCCCTATAATTGCACTATGTGGGAAACTGATGCAGGCAGAACTGCTGGGAGTTCAAGGCCAGTTTGAAATACATAGCAAGACTCAAAACAAAAAACAAAGGCAAATATCCAAAATTAAAACACTATGGGGCCAGGGAGATGGCTCAGTGGAGTAAGTGCTTCCCTGGCAAGTGCAAGGGCCCTAGTTCTAATCCCCGGTTCCACCAAAAAAATAAGTAAACATACAAACAAATTAAGACACTATCCTTTTAATCATCAGACTTTACTTACAAATTAAGCCCTGTAACTCGATATACCTCAGGAGAATCTGAAGTTATTGCCAAGAAACCTTTCAAGCTATTTACATAACTATGAACAGAAAACGCACAGTTTCTGCCCTGACAGCTACCTACCTCTCCATCTCCTCTCCGCGGCAAGCCACCATGCTCTTGGAGGTAAGTAATTCCCGGCAAGAAGTTCCAGACAGAAGGCGGCTAGTGCTCATGCTGTTGCCCAGACTGCCCCTTTCACAGTAAACTCACACTTCTACAGCCAGGGCTGACAAACTGTTGTTCTTTTATCTCAAACTGAAGGCCATCCAGGTCTGCTTCCCATGATGAAGCAAGTCCTTGAAGGCCTGGAAGCAGGCCCACTTGAACAAAAAACGCTTCTTGATTTTCACTGACTTTTTCCCCCGCCCCAGCACAGGGGATTGAGCATCCTGGGTCCCAGGCAAAAGCTCGGCTGCTGAGCTCCACCTCCACCCCTTTTAAGCCCCAAAGTTGCCCCAACTCAACAACCCTCAGGCCTCACTCCCCCAAGCAGAATGGAGGGTAGTTTTACTTTCATAACCACATCTGAAAGGTGATTAGACAAGACTCCCTGCCCACGGGAGTGCCTGCTGCAATATTACCTAGATTTTAAGCAAGATTCCTGCCCCTTTCCCAAGAAACAGAAGAACAGCACTTGGGGGTATACCTGCTGGGCCAGGGAATTCACAAGAGTGCAGACCACTAGCAAGCCTGCAGGCAAAACCTGCTGGGGTGAACACTGACCAAAAGACCGGGAGGTCAGACATGAGTGGGTTTCACAAACAGGAAGATGGTTCATGGCTTAAATGAGCATCCAGAATTTCCCACAGGACTAATATGAATATCTTAGCGGTTAAAATTAAAGCACTCAGCATGTACCTGCTATGGTGTTTTTACTTGGCGAGTACTGGGAGACTGGACCAAGGGCCTTCGCAGCGAAATAAATCCAATTCTAGATTAAGGACTAAGCCACCAAGTTGCCTCAGCTGGCCTCAAACCAATCTCACAGGGCAAACACTGCTGTGATCCCCACTTTGCAGACGAAACTGCAATAAAAGTTAACTCTCCTGAGATTGCATAGAAAGCTGTAGTTTAGATCTGAGGTGATGGTAGGGCCAGAGGCCTCATCACTTGGGGACTCCTGAGGCAAGCTCTGTGGTGTGGGAGGAAGGCCCCAGGGACAATCGCTAGGGCTGTGGAGGAATGGCTCTCCAAGGAGGGTGCTCAGCCCTAAAATTGCACACTGCCCCAGGTGCCAGCAGTAATTAAAGCCCAAGTTAGAATGATCGAGACAACATCCTTGGGGCCCCGGGAGATAGCTCAGTAGAATAAGTGCTTACCTGGCAAGCGAAAGGGCATGAGTTCAATCCTCCGTTCGGAGGAGAAAAAAAAAAAAAAAAAGAGAGAGACAACACCCTTCCTCTGACCCCTTCCGCCACCTCACCCGGGCTCTGCCTTAGCAGAGGCTCCAGGTTTGGTCCCAGGGCTAGCAAAAATTCATTTCCTCCCTGAGGAGCAAATCAATTCGCGGTACTACCCCAACAATACTTCTCAAGCTCTGTCGTCAGATACACTGTCCTACAGGTTTTAAAATTATTAGCCTATGATGATTCATTGAATTAGTAACTTCATTCCGTAATGAAACCCTCCACGGTGCAGTGTAACTACCTCGTTCAATCAGGGAGCTGATGTAAGTTACCTTCAATCCTTTGCTCTTTAGCCACTGCGCTTGTTCCCAGGTACTTTCAAGCAAGCCAGGCTTCCACGGCGTGTTTTCCTTGTCCTAAGGACGGCAAGAAGTGTTTTATGATTAACACGGCGCACTCAGCCGCATAAAAGTTCCTTAAGTCGAGGGAGCCTACTCAGTGGCGCACTTATGAATTCGCCCCAAATCACCACTTCTGAAGTTAGAAGAGCAGCAACATTTCCTTTTTTTTTTTGGGATGGGGGTGTAGGTGAATCCCCACTGCACGGGGAGGGGATAAAGACAACGAAAGCCTTCTGGAAAGTGGACGTGGGTGCGGAACCAACACCCACGACTTCCCACGGACCCCCAA